TGTGTTGTTAGTTCGTGTGGTGTTTGTGTTTGGTGGTTAGGTTTGTTTTTTTGGTTTGGACCGTTTGGTCTCAGTGAGCTCGGGTGTCAAATTTATTCTCCTGTTGGGAGCCGACATCCGGGTATTCTCCTATTGGGAGCTTTCTAGTTTTCTTAGTTTTTGTTTGTGTTAGGTGTTTAGTGTGGTTGGTTAGTTAGTTGTGAGTTTTTCATTCTAGCGTTGCTAGTCGGGATTCTAGGCGGTCTTCGGACCTGTCCTCCCACTTTTTCAGCTGTTGGCTGCTGTGTATTCAGTCGTTGGCTGCTGTGTATTTGCACATTTTTGCTTTTTGATTTGTAATATTCTCTGTCGTTTTGGAAAAAAAAATAAAGTAATGATATATGCTCATTTTTCACAATAAAAATTGTGATGTAAGCTTATATAAGCAAAAAAATTATTATGCCGGAAAACATAGTAACTAATATGCAAATTATCTCTTTAATGTAGTACTCATGTTGGTATCGAGTTATCGTGACAATTGCATAACCAATCAATTAATTTGAATTTTTAAAAATTATTATGTTTATTTTTTTTATAAATATGCAGAAATTAAAAAAGATATCTTTAGATATAATATATAATCTTATTATATTGTCATTTGGTATAAAATTCCACTACACGAATCAAAAAATATTTTTTTATTTCAAAAATTTAAATTTATTTAAGAAAAAACAAAAAATCACTTTGGATTACTGTGAATGTTGATTGAATTACTTTTAGTTGATATTTAAATTAGTCAAAAATATTGACACAACTGAGGTTGGTCTTAGGTGACCAAGTTATGAGTCATTTTTTTTTTTTTTTGAAACGATAGAGATATTATATAAAAAGGCGCAAATGTGCAAAAGTATAGACACCGGCTGAATACAAACAACTACCAGATGAATACAAACAGCCAACAGCTGAATAAGTTGGGAGGACATGTCGAAAGACCGCCAAGTTATGAGTCAATCTGACTAGATCAATTTAGTTATTGAAACTAAATACAATTTTTATTATTAAAAAATTTATCACGATAAATACAATATAGTTCATAATCCAACAAATCATATTAAGGATGCTTTTATTACATCATGTTCAATGATTTATGAACATTTATATATTATTTATTTAATATTTATGTGAACAAAATGAAGTTTCATTACAACTTTATCAATGTACGATAAATTCAAGGTTCTCAGAAAAGGACAATCTTCAAACCGATCAAATTATTTATTCAATGATTTATTGGTTGCGCCAGAATTTAAAATTTTTAATGTTTTAAATCATATGGTACTTTTTGTAATATATTTATATAAGAAAATATTAATTAAATATTTAAACAATTTAAAAATTTCCAATATTAAAACTTATTAATAAATAATTTATAAATCTCTATTTTATATAAAATATATAATATTATTACATTGAAAATAATTTTAATTGTACCAAAATTTATTTAAGAAATAGTACTGATCTTACCGGTTCGACCGAGTGGTGTTGATCGATCGCTAACAAATATTTTATTCAAGTGAATTGTACTGATCGATAAATCGATTCCCAATTCATTCGGTCAGATTATCCGGTCCGGTCCTAAATTGAAAACAATGGGTAGAATCTATTACTATATAATAGAGCTATGAAAAAAATACATATATGTTATTTTTCCGCTAATTTTTTCCTTTTATACTATTAATGGAATGATTTTTTGATTTTTTTTTTTTTTAAATCCTGT